ATTGTTTTAAAACAATGTCTCCAAGTGACAATATTTATTGTTTTAAAACAATGTCTCCAAGTGACAATATTTATTGTTTTAAAACAATGTCTCCAAGTGACAATATTTATTGTTTTAAAACAAACATTTCTTCCATTCTGCAAACTGATGACAATAAACATTTTATTGACAGTCATCACAGAAGTTAAGGATCAAAAGTTTTATACAAAAACCAATTTACTCACTGTCAGAATTAGTCTGCTAGTGTGTTATACTTTTCAGTTATCTTTATACAATAAAAAAGTACTTGTTCAAAAATAAATCTCAAAGACAATATTTTGAATTTTATTATCTACAGCAATAAAAATGGTGGACCAAAGCATAAATTATAAAAAACACATCTCATTTAAAAATAATCCGTGAAGGAAGAACAGTTGTAACAACATGACAGAGGTAAAAATTTAAAAACACAGTTTTACTGTCTAAACGTGTAGTCAGTAAAAAATTAAAATGTAACAAAATCAATCATAGTTCATGAGCCACAAGAGAGTTCCATAGTAGATTAAATTTAAAATTAACATGTAAGACACTTCATCAGTACATACACTAATTAAGCAAAGTTTCACAATAATACTCAAAACATACTATCACTCCAACAAATAAAACATTTTGTAACCTTCACTGAAAAGCATGTGGAACAAAAGAAAATGAAATGATGTGGAGAGAGAGAAAAAAGATAAAAAACACATCCAGTACTACAAACATTTTATCAAGTTAAGATTACATACATATTAACAATTATTGTATTGCAAACCATAATCTATGGTCACTGAACCACAATTATGATGTTATAATGTTTATAAAGCATATGTTTAATTTCCATGCAACTTTGCAAGAATTTTCTCAACGTCCATTTCCTTCAGTAGTTTCTCCTAGAGAAAGGAAAAAGCATTTCTAAAAATGAAAGTTGAATAACATAAAATACAATAAAAAATATGCTCACAACAAGATACAAACAAGTATATTTTTACTCGATGATGTCAAAAAACTGACAGGTTTATAAGATTTAAAAATTATTCGAATCTTAACATGAGACATACTATGCATATACAGTAAAACATATGTTGTACAACATTTCATTTTTAGGCCTAAGATAAATGCCATACTACAGTAATGTTTCTGGAAATTCTGATATAAACTTAACACCTATACCTATACAGTGAAATATACAGCCAATTGGATTTCATTACTCTGAATTGAATTATTGATAAGAAATAAGTTCAACAATTTTAGTAATAGGTACAATAAAAACATAACTAAAGCTGAGTGATTAACTAGCATTGATTACCGTCACAGAAAATAATCAGCTAGTCCCTCTAATATTTTACTGTCTTTGATTATTTCAGATATCCAGTAATTGAAATAAAGATTAAAACAATTATCTTTAGGAAAATAACTAACTAATCAAAATCAGTTTTCCGACCATCAATCATGAAATTAATCTATTAATTAATGAAAAATCATAATGGCAATATTTCAGTTATTGGAATAATCAGGAACGCTAATAACCAGAAACAGTAATTTTTTGTAACATTAATCAGTTTGTATGTAAGTTTGATGACTGGATAAAATAATCAACTAATCAAAACTGGGTTTCTAATTATTATTATTTTTGATTATTTAAACTGTTCAAGTAATTGAAATATTGCTAATATGTTTGTCTATTTCAAGCATAAAATTATACAATGTTGCTCTGTCCACCAATGATATTAAACTTAACTTTCTTTAGCCATCTCCTGAGAATAACCAATTTATTGAATGTAATTGATTAATGAGCCGAGTGAGTAATAGATTAGCAAATACCTCTAATTGCCTAGTTCTATGTGTAGCAGAATATTTTTTAAGAGACAAAATTTGGCTCATGGCAGAAAGAAATTTGTCAATGATTATGTTATAATGGATAAACAAGTTATACGTAAAAAATATATATACCTTTACTCTTCTCTTCTTTCTTACTTTCCCCTGACAAAATAACACAAAAATCTATAGTTGTATATATGCAGACAACATAAACTCTAAAACACTAGCATGAAAAGGAAAACAGCTTGTTGAAAATTTACACAAAACTGTATTGAAAATAAACAAGTATTTTAAAAGAACTATGAATTCAGTGAAGAAAAAATATACGGTTACATTCTTAACATATACAATCCCATCTTTGCCAAGTTAGCATCAATAACAGCAAAAAAAAAGATATGGTTACATTCTTAACATATACAATCCCATCTTTGCCAAGTTAGCATCAATAACGCAAAAAAAAGATTTAAAATAACAGTACACATTACCACTACGAGGTGCTTGATATTACTAGGTATTAATAAATAATGCATAAAAGTAGCTAAACTTCATTACAGAAAATACTAAGTAATTCAGTCACTATCATAGATAAATCTATAGCCATTTCTTTCTTAATTCAATAAAAGAAATGGAAATTAAAAGATAACTTTAACATGTCACCACATGTTGAAATTATTTTATAATGCTTTAAAACTGTTTCGGTAACATACGAATAAATAGACACTTGACGAAATCTTTAGATATTTCGTAACGAAAGAAGATTCTGTATAATCGAGGATAGGTGAAGACTAGAATATTCTTACAGTTTGAGAAAATGAACTAATTTACTGAGCACTTATGAATAAAATATACATCTCTGAATATATATATATATATATATATTAAATAATAATAATAAAATAAATAATCTTGCTGAAACAGGAAAATTTACACCTTACTCTTTTTTTATGTCTGTGTGTAAAATGGTAGCTAAATATAAGTGTAAGAATTAATTCCCACCTTTTCAGAATCCACTAATTTTCTTTTGTTCCTCTGGAAATCTTCACAAGCAGAGAAGTCTCTAGAACTGTCTTGGCCACTAGTTTCATCAGAAAGTGGCGTGACACTTGAGAATTTGGAAGACATTTCAATCTGACCATTGTTTATAGTACTTATAGCTGGCCTTTCAGGGATTTGGGTTGCAAGAGAAACAAGGGTTTCTGCAATCTCATTATCATTCAGTTCTTCAAATTTTGCAGTTGAGTTCTTTAAATTTTGCACAACTGGTTTTGGGTGCTCCGACAATGACAAGCAAACAAGTTCCTTCTCTTCTGAATCATTTTCTATGATTTTATTTTCAGTCTGAATAAGTATCACTGAGTCTTTTAACTGTTCATTGCTATTTACAGATTTAATAATAGTAAGGGATTTACTCTGGTGTTCAGTATCAGCACTAAGCTGATTCCTTGATTTTATATCAGTTTTTAATCCATTTTGTAGTTCGATATCATGTGACACATCCTGTGTTTTAACATCACCTGTTAAACTACTCTGTACTTTGAACACTATGACATACTTGCTGGGTGTCAGCATCGTCTATCAATCCATTCTCTAGCTCGATATCATGTGACGCATCCTGTGTTTTAACATCACCTAAGCTACTCTGTACTTGAACACTATGACATACTTGCTGGGTGTCAGCATCGTCTATCAATCCATTCTCTAGCTCGATATCATGTGACACAGCTTGTGTTTTAACCTCACCTGTTAAGCTACTCTGTACTTTAACACTATGACATACCTCCTGGGTGTCAGCATCGTCTATCAATCCATTCTCTAGCTCGATATCATGTGACGCATCCTGTGTTTTAACCTCACCTAAGCTACTCTGTACTTTAACACTATGACATACTTGCTGGGTGTCAGCATTGTCTATCAATCCATTCTGTAGTTCGATATCATGTGACACATCCTGTGTTTTAACCTCACCTAAGCTACTCTGTACTTTAACACTATTACATACTTGCTGGGTGTCAGCACTGTTTGTCAATATATTTTGTACTTCAGTATCACGAGATACATCTTGTGTTCTAACATCACCTATCATGCTTCTCTGTACTTGAACACCATGACATAACTCCTGGGTGTCAGCACTGTTTGTCAATATATTTTGTACTTCAGTATCACGAGACACATCTTGTGTTCTAACATCACCTATCAAGCTTCTCTGTACTTGAACACATACCTCCTGGGTGTCAGCATTGTTTATCAATATATTTTTTACTTCAGTATCACGAGGTACCTCTTGTATTTTAACATCACTTGTCAAGCTATTATGTACTTCAACACCATGACATACCTTCTGGGTGTCAGCACTGTTTATCAATATATTTTTTACTTCAGTATCACGAGGCACCTCTTGTATTTTAACATCACTTGTCAAGCTATTATGTACTTCAACACTATGACATACCTTCTGGGTGTCAGCATCAACTATTAATTCATTCTGTAACTTGGTATCATATACTACATGCCTTGATTGAATGTTTCCTTTATCAAATTGATTGCCACTGATAGGTCTACTATCTCTTTGAATATTTGCTAGTTGGTTCTTTTCTTGACTGTCATTTGTAGATCTGCTGGTAACTACATCATCGGTGAATTTGTTTCCAATTTCAATCTTTGGATTTTCAATGATTTTGGAAAACTTATCATTTTCTTCTTCAATTGAAGGAAATTTTACAACATGGTTTAAGTTATTCACTAGCTGAATTTTTGATGCAGTACATGGATTAATTAACTGTTGTTGTTGGACTGACTCTTTCGTGATCTTTGGGCTTACTTCTGAATGAGGTTCAAAATGATTAACAAGTTTTGATTTTCTTGGAGTTCTTCTCCTAGGAGATTTTCTATATTTACGTTCACAATGATTGGAGATTTCATGAGTCACAGCCTCAGAAAACACAGATTCACACTGACTTACTTCTGGCCCAAAGTCCAAAACTCGAACATGCCTCTGTCCATTTGGCTGACCACCCACCAAAACACGTGCGGAATTGATAAGAGTCCTCAGCTGAGGACTATGTTTCTTCTGATGACTAAGCAATAAATTTTGAGGAGTGTGAGAACTCTTTTTCTTAGATGAAGAGTTTTCTTTGCGTTGCCAAGAATTTATTAGAGCTTGAGAGGTTTGACTGCATGAGAGCCTAGGCTGAAAAGTCTCTGATTTTTTTGTGATTATTCCATTTTTCTTTCGCTTTTCAGAGTCTACAATGTTTCTTGAGGGTTTTTTATCTATTTTTGTGCTAGCAACTTCTGCTGGGTGGGCTTCTATATTAACTTGTGGTGACTGATTTTCGCTACCTGCCACACTAACCGATTTTTTTGCCGACTTTTGACATCTTCGCACTTTGGTCTGATGAATCACTGATGAACTGCATTCAGGGGGTACTGTCTGGCTGGATGTAGCTTTAGGTAAAATGATAGCATGCCCACCAACATCCAGTTTCCTTTGCACTACCTGTTGAAGCACTGACTTTCCTCTAGTTCGATTTCGTTGGAGACGAAGGTGGTGCTTTGTTTTCTTCAAGTTAGTTTTATCATCTTCTTTGGGCTCACATATGACTGAGATAGCAAATACAAAAACAGCAAAATCAAAGAAGTGAAAACTGCAACACTATTACAGTTCAAAATGACATAACAACTGTAAATATTTTTTGTCTATTACAATACATCTTTCTTAAAACTGTCAAATATATGTAAACATTCTTTGACTTCAGACTAAACATATTAGTCTGATCTTTCCTCTTTAAATAAGCAAAAAAATAATATATAACCCACCTAAGAAGTCTTAAAAAAACATAGGTAATTATAATGGTTTCAAGAATAGTTGAAAATGCTCAGTTACTGTAAATCAACCCCTCATTGAGTAAGTCACAGAAGATCAACCCATTTTTGTTTACTAAGTTTTATGAGCTCAATAAGTTGCAGCACAAAAACTCATTAATAAATAATAATAATAATTAAATCAATATAAGACATTTATCATACTTTATCAAAATTTGGATCATTACATAAATATAACACTATGGTTGATCTAACACTTAGAAACTAAAAAAACTATTTTACACGGAAGTTTTAGAAAAGTTGAGCAAGTTAAATTTATTGTAAAAATAGTGGTACACTGTACTGTTCTAGATATGTAGTGGTACACTGTTCTGTTCTAGTTATGTAGTAGTACACTGTATTGTTCTAGTTATGTGGTGGTACACTATTGTTCTAGTTATGTAGTGGTACACTGTATTGTTCTAGTTATGTGGTGGTACACTGTATTGTTTTAGTTATGTAGTGGTACACTGTATTGTTCTAGTTATGTGGTGGTACACTGTATTGTTTTAGTTATGTAGTGGTACACTATTGTTCTAGTTATGTAGTGGTACACTATTGTTCTAGTTATGTAGTGGTACACTGTATTGTTCTAGTTATGTGGTGGTACACTATTGTTCTAGTTATGTAGTGGTACACTGTATTGTTCTAGTTATGTGGTGGTACACTATTGTTCTACTTATGTGGTGGTACACTATTGTTCTAGTTATGTAGTGGTACACTGTATTGTTCTAGTTATGTGGTGGTACACTGTATTGTTCTAGTTATGTGGTGGTACACTGTATTGTTCTAGTTATGTAGTGGTACACTGTATTGTTCTAGTTATGTAGTGGTACGCTGTATTGTTCTAGTTATGTAGTGGTACACTGTATTGTTCTAGTTATGTAGTGGTACACTGTATTGTTCTAGTTATGTGGTGGTACACTGTATTGTTCTAGTTATGTGGTGGTACACTGTATTGTTCTAGTTATGTGGTGGTACACTGTATTGTTCTAGTTATGTAGTGGTACACTGTATTGTTCTAGTTATGTAGATGTTAAATTATTTAACATAGTTAAAGTTCACAAACAAACACATGCACCATAGAATAGAATACTGTAAATCTTGAAAAATAGCCTTAAAAGTTGCTTTATAAGAGCTTTGATGAGCAGTGTAAGCCTACCTGTGTTAGCTGGTAGATTACAAATGGTGGGGAGACCATCTTGCACAACCTGTAGTTTAGCACTGTCTGAAGACAATATTCCCAAAACCTGACCTTTATGAAGAATGAAGACATTCTTTAATACTGTAAAATCTTAATATATATGTTTTACCAGTACAGGAGAATATAGTGTTGAAATTATGAAATTCTCCTTGTCATAACAAATATAATCAAACACATGTATATACAAACTAGAAAAAAAAGTAACAGCTTATTATATATATAGTTATAGTTGTGAATGGCATTACTTCAAATACTGATTGTAATTTTTAAATATATGAACAGGAGTTCCATGTTAATGTCTAGAGGATACCAATACTATCAGTATCCAAGATTACATTGTTTCAAAGTTCAAAGAAAACTGTTGAGGAAACATTTATAGATTTTCCTACACTGTTTTATGGTCACAAATGTATTTCCTTTAAATTTAAACACTATACTAACAATCAATAACTATATGACATCATCCAAGGCAGAGTAACTGAAACCTGGATAAAACAATGATGACGAAATGAAATTACCAAATTACTACTTGCAGCTTTAAGAAACTATGTTAATGAAACTTGGATGTGACTTTACTAGTAACTTGAAGAAATTGCTGAAATCTCCAGGTTTCAGTAGCAATTTGATGAAGCTACTTAAAGCTTAAAGAAGTGCTATGAAACCTGGATAAAGTAAAATCAAATGATACTACTTACAGCCTGACAAATCTGTTAATGAAACCTGAATTTAACTCCAATGATGCTAACTAATCCTTACAGTCTGAAGAAATTATTTTACTGAAACATGGATATAATCTGATGATACTACCTATAGATCAAAGAAACTGTCACTGAATACCAGACACAGCTCCAATGATACTACTTACAGTTTGTAGAAACATTTAATGAAACCTGTATATAATTCTGACACTAATAACAGCCTGAAATGAAAATTGTCTTGTTTTAAATAACCCTATCATTGTGTCTTGTGTTACATGATATTAAATCTTGAAGCAAATGGTACTGAAAAATAGATACAATTTTTAATACTACTACTTCAATTTTAAACAAATTTTGTAATGAAACCGAAATATAATTCTGTCAATACGACGTGAAAAATCTAAGTTACCGAAATGTAAATGAAATTTTAACCATGTAACCTACTGTAGAACTAGAATCAGCTACAAATTGCTGGTTAAATCTTGATGCATCTCCAGTAATATCAAGTGAAGCTTGAAACAAATTGTTACTCATACCTAAATAAAACTAATAGTTATGTGCATTTTGAAACTATTATATTATGTAATTGAATGCAAAATGCCACTGAAAAAAGGTCACTAAATATCAGCCTAAAGCAATTATGTTCTTTATCCAAATCTGCCACTTACTGTTCTACTGACAAAAAGTAAGAACTTGAAGCAACTGTACTGAAATTCTTACGTAAATCTAGAAGCAGCTATATGTATGAACAGTTATTCATTCTAGTAATACAACATTTATTCTTTAATAAAGTTTTATTATATATTAATATAATTTCAACAGGAAATGGATCTTATAGCAATTATATTGTTCTATTTCTTTTCATAAAAATGATCTATAAGATTATACAAATACTATCGCCATCTGCTGTCAGTTATGGAACTTACATTATTACAAAATAATGTTATGAAGTAAATCTTTTTCAACAACTCAAAAAAATGAGGATTTTGCAATGATAATTCTCTACAGAATATACATTTAAACATAAAATAGTTTACCAGGTTTACAAAAACATCAGATACCATTCATACACCATTCATGTTAATTTAAAAAGTGGGAATAAGGATCTTCAAAAATTACAGAAACAAGATAAGTAGCTTAAATTGAAAATTTCATGGCAAAAAAAAGTAAAAAAACAAGTTTAAGGTTTGAGACATAGTGTTGACATAATTTCCTCAAGCTACAAATCCCTGTTTTAACTCCATGTCTAAAAAATCCCTATTTCCCCTTTTTAAATTAATGATTTTTAATAATCTTGTTTCTTTAATTTTATTATGTCCATCATGGACATAAATCTGTATTGTTGCAATACTGTCCTACTGAAACAACTTCGTTTAATGAAATATGTAGTAGGTGTGTGATGTTCTCTCAAGAAACAATGACAACTTTTGGATTAGCATCATGCAGATTGGATTCTCCTGATATCATTGATAGTGGTACTGCATGTATGATCACTAGATGCATGGTGATTAACATACCATATGTTTTGTATATGCTTGTAAAATATATATAGCTACCATATTTAAATCTTGCATCTATAAGAGGAGTCTGTAAACGTTGGATTAGAGAAACTACTGAACTGGTACACAGACTGGATTTTGTAACTGCATGAGTTTTATACATGTGGCTAGTATTTATTTTTAAGTTGTAAAGCCATATACATGGATAGCCATATGAGTTTTCAAGTTGTATAGATGTATACATATATATTCAATGCAAATATAAGACAATGTGTCAAAATATAATAGCATATGTATATAAATAAGCATTTTTAATAAATCTTATAGTTGTTATATTTCCCCATTCCTCTTCTCCTCTGGCCATAGTAAGGGCAGCCAAACAGTATTGGGGATTCAAAGAAATGTTGTTGCAAGTGTGAAACGGTAGTTGATAAGACCACCTTATACAGGATGATTGTGGAAGATGTAAAACCCTAGCCAAAAGCCTGGTCAAAAAACGTGTTATGGTTGGCACTTGTGATCAAAATGGGTTTAACCTTCTCTCAATACCCCATTGCCAATATGTGTGCCATTTTCATTGATAAATGTCCATCATTGGACTAAGCATAGACCAAGACAAATACATGGCAACCTTAGAAATTAAACTCTGATGCCTTGTGAAGAACTGCCTAACCCCCATGCCTGAAGCTTGAGCTTCTGGATAACTGGGTGTACCATGTCAAATAATGGCTGCCTCCACAGAGATGGCCAAAGAGTAAGTGGAAGAGGTGGGCACTCCTGAAGATACCATAAAAACAGAAACCAGGGAGTAGCTGCCAATCCTGTGCTACCAACAGGACCTAACAATGGGTTGGAACAAATAATATTTAGTACCTTGGGTAACATACAAATTGAAGGGAAGGCCTAGAGTTGTAATCCCATCCCAGAATGTCCAGGATCAACTTCAATTGCAGCCTCAGACCCTACCCGAGAGGAACACCACCAAACCGAATATATGTTTCCATCTCACTACAATAAGATCATTGACAGTCTCAACTGAAAGTGACTCCCCTATTGGTGAGCAATGCTAGATATCAGATGTGGGATAGGCGAGATTTGATTTGTCTCTGGAAATAATAATCCAGGAATTCATGCCATATATCTATTTGTCAAATGGATTTTGTTTTTAAATGAAGATCAACTAGGTAACACGAAGATCGCTCAAAGTATCTCCTAACAATCATAACACAGAGAAACCTGATAGTGAATGCTTTGTCAAGAAAAAGTGATAACATTATCCGAAGGAGTGCTTATATCCTGTATTAGGATATGGTCCTATAATTCCAACCCCAAGCAGTGGAACGTTATCTGGTTGGGGCCTGGCCAATAGTGATGATAAATCATGTAAATTTCACCCACAGTCCATGAATTCAGTTACAGGTGAAGAGCATACCTGTTCTGGATGTAGTGCAGTTCCCCCACTAGGGTGCTAATCTTCTATTGACACACCCATGATCTATGTAGATGCTTTCTGTATGGATAATGCCCTCACTGGCCTCTCCACCTTATTAATGTGGGGGTCTAACTGTACTGTGAGAGAAGGTAAGTATGTTTTGGAAGTTAACATATTCTTAAACCAAAAATGTATTTCCAATAATACTTATCTCCACTGACACTCTCCTGCCCTTCCTCTCCACTAAGAGCTGGTGTTAGAGAATGAGGATTGAGTCAGTCTCAAAAAAGTGATAACATTACCTGAATGAGGTGCTTATATACAGTACCATGACAGAGGGAGTATTGACGAAGGTGGAGAGTTTCATGAGACAAATATTGCCAAGGGCAATTAAGTGGGGTATAAAAGACTGGAACAAGTGAGAAAAAAATCAGACCAATGCTTAGATGGGCAAAGGAAGAAACCCTGGCAGTTGAGTAATAGTTGAGTGACAGGAGGTATGTTTTAGAAATTACATCCACAGTCTGCATGCAGCTATATACATATGCATGTAGTCAATTATGATGTTCCATATAAACCACAGACTACATTAAACAATTGGTGTCAAGGGTTATACAGCCACTGTTACTTGCTAAGTAGTAAAATTAAATTAAAAACTACAATGCGAAATGATGCATTTAGTAATACTGCCCAGGTTATATTATATAATCAGAGCCATTTTTACTGTAGGATGCCGGAACAATATTAAATAATAATAAAGAAAAAATGGGTAATCCCCATTATGAACCATTACCATGGTTCAAGATAATGATTATACATTTTACAAATAATTCATAATCTCTTAAATAGTGGTGGGCATTGAAAGCTACTACTTTTTAACTTTAAAACCACATACCTTATAATATTTACTTTAACTCATTATATAATAAAATATTTTTCCTGTGCAAGTATGTTAATAATTAGGACAGCTCTTTGTACAATTCCAATTTTCTTAAATCATCTATGCATAGAATGAAAGTGAAGTGATGATTCCTTCTTGTTAACTTGGTCGGGTTGGTTTTGTAACTACAGTCTTACTTTGATTTAGTGATAAAGCTATTCAATAAATTTTATAAGTTAAAAAGTTTATGACTACAATTATTGCAATATTAAAAAAAATATTTATATGCTCTGTCATGACTGGCAATGTTCATTATTTTGTTTAGTTTCTCAGTATTATTGCTATATTGTCTTCACTTTGATGATTTTTTGTTCATCTTAATTAATATCTCATCTTCAGAAAAATAAATTTAGTCTTACCTTATCCATGTTGATCTTATTAAAATATAAACTCAGTTATATTTTATCCATCTTTACAAACTTAATCTTGTTTGTTTATTCTAACTGTAAACTAGAGCTGGATGAATTAATTGATTTCCTGTTAGTAGCCTTTATATCAATTACTGTCTCATAATTAATTTCCTGTTAGTAGCCTTTATATCAATTACTGTCTCATAATTAATAAAACTTACGATTCATTGGTTAATGTCATGAAAATAATCAACTA